GAAAAAAGAAAAAAAGGAGCGGTTGGGAGCTTCAGTCACCCTCAGCCTGAAAACAGCCCTCAGCCCCTCACCCAGACTGGCCAGGCACCCCAGTGGGGACCCCCACCCTGAAGGATGTGTGACCAGCTGCAAACAGCCATCATTCCCTCACCCAGGCTGGCCAGGCACCCCAGTGGGGACTCCCACCCTGATCCAGGACACCCTTGAGGGCAAACCAGCTGGCACCCACCCGTGCACCAGGCCTCTACCCTATATAGTAAAAGGGTAATATGCCTCCCAGCACTGGGATCAGCGGAGCCGCGAGGCCTCCCGGCACCAGGATCAGCATGACAGGGGGCAACGCCCAAACCCCCTGATCGCCCTGCGGCTGTGTGTGTGATAGGGGGTGGGGCCACAACCTCCCTATCCACCCTGCTCTGTTCATGACAGGGGAAGGCGCCCCAACCCCCTGATCAGCCCTGCTCTGTGCCTGATAGGGGGGAGCTCCCCAACCTCATGATCACCCTGCAGCTCTGTGTGTGACAGGGTGTGGCGCCCAAACCCCCTGATTGGCCCTGCTCTGTGTGTGACAGGGTGCAGCGCCCCAACCTCCCCCACCCACCCACAGGCCCTGCTCTGTGTGTGACGGGGTAGAGCCATAACCTCCCCATCATCCCTGCCCTGAGTGTGAGAGTGGCGGCGCCCCAACCCCCTGATGGGCCCTGCTCTGTGCGTGACAGGGGGCAGCGCCCCAACCCCCTGATTGGCCCTGCTCTGTGCGTGACAGGGTACAGAGCCCCAACCCCCCTGATGGGCCCTGCTCTGTGCGTGACAGGGGGTGGTGCTGCAACCTCCCCATCGACCCTGCCTTGAGTGTGACAGGGGACGGTGCCCCAACCCCCCAATCAGCCCTACCCTGAGCGTGACTGAGGGTGGCATCGCAACCTCCCGATCACCCTGCTCTGTGCATGACAGGGGGCGGCACCCCAACTCCATAATCGGCCCTGCTCTGAGCCCGACCAGGGGCTGCACCTAGGGATTAGGCCTGTCCTCTGCCACCCGGGAGCAGGCCTAAGCCAGCAGGTCGTTATCTCCCAAGGGGTTCCAGACTGCAAGATGTCACAGGCCGGACTGAGGGCCCCCCCCCGCCCCCCCCGAGTGCACAAATTTTTGTGCACCGGGCCTCTAGTATAAAAATAAAAAGGATAACAATAAGCTAAAATTACCACTATTCACTCTACCGTCACCTGGAAACTTGACTTTCTCTCCCAAAGTTTGCTTTATTTGAGAGAACATAGAGCCTTTATTTTATTTCATTTTTCTCTGAGGTTGATGTAAAAGTATTACTATACTTAGAAGGCAGAGAAGACAGAGAAGCTCAGATCTCAAAAGACTTTGAATTGTAATGAGGGCAGTGGACATCTAGACATCATAGGGCCTTTTGACTATCCTATATAATAAAGAGGTAATATGCAAATTAACCCTCATGCCCTCACAAGATGGCTTACTATGACCAGGCCAGCAGGGGGGTTAGTGAGGGATGACCAAACGACTGGACAGCAGACTGCGTGGGGCAACCAGGCCTGTGGGGGGCCATGAGGGGCAACCAGACTGGTGGGGGGGACAGTTGGGGCGACCAGGCCAGTGGGGGCGGGGGGAGGCAGTTGGGGATGATTAGGCTGGCAGGGGGGGCAATTAGGAGTGACCAGGTTGGCAGGGAGGGGGCCGTTGGGGGTGACCTGGCTGGCAGCAGGGGGCAGTTAGGGGCGGCCAGGAAGGCAGGCAGGTGAGAATTAGGAGCCAGGGGTCTAGGATTGTGAGAGTGATCCCAGAATGGAGAGGGTGCAGGCTGGGCTGAGGGAACCACCCCCGTCCCATGCACAAATTTCGTGCACTGGGCCTCTAGTGTTTATATGATAAGGTTGAATGTTACCTCTTTGCTTGGCTGATTTATTATGAAGGAAAGAGTGAGGGATAGTATTGGCTGGTAAAGCCAGCCACAAAGAAAAATGTAGCTTTAAAAAAAAATCTGGGCAGTGACCTTGGAGGGCCCAAGACATGCATTCCTTCCAGCCCTCCTTACCTCTGCCTGAGTAAGGTGGGGACCAATAGATTAATAAAACAAGGAACAGTCATGAGTCCTGATTCCTTGTGGTTAGAGAAAGGTTTTTTGCAAATTTGACAAGATTTTAGCTTCTTCTGTAAAGCTTCAGCCAAGATCTAGAGGCAATTTTCAGTAATATAGCACATTTTGAATTGTTGGGGTAGGGCTTGCAATATATTGTATGGCAAAAAAGCAGAACTTTTGGGTGTTAATGGATAAAATATTTTGAAATCAATAGTTTGTAGTTGATGTGAAATAAATAAATATGGATCCTGGTTCTTAAAGATTTCCAATTAAATAAGGGCTATCTGCCTATAATTAGTTGATATAGATAATATTTAACTGTTAAAATATTGAAATTTTTTTATTAGTTCTGGAATTTGACTTTTCAAAATATATTGCTTGGGAAAAACATTCTTGATAAAAAGACTCGTATTCAGTAAGCAATTTTGCTGGCAAAAGATTAAAAAAAAAAAATCCTTCTCTGTAATTTTATGAGGCATCTACATTTCCAAGCAATTTCTGAATTGGTTTCCTCTGCTATCACTAACCGACAACCTGTGATTTATGGATTTGGAATAATTGAATTTCTTGGCTGTCATATACTTTGAGTAAGAAATATTACATATGTTTCCAGAAAAAAATGATTTAAGGAAGAAAAGATTGAAGAGACGCCAAGTTCTGAAACTGCATTTGGAAACTGTGTTCTAACCAAATGGTACTTAAGATGCTCTCTCTGACTTTCTGACACATGTTTGCTAAATAATCTTTGAATAATTTTTGAAAGTAGGTTTGAACATAAGGTTTCTAAGCATGCTACTTTTGAGCTAAAATAAAGAGCAGAGAGCAGCATATTGTTGTTCTCACCTTTCCAAGCACAACAAATGCAGAATTTTTTTCATTGGCGCATGGAAATGGGCTGAATAAATTTCTTCAAAAATTGGAGCTACACATCTCTTTTTACCTGTCAAACACAAAATATTTAGTGATTTAGTGATAGCTTGCCATGAATAGAATTTTTTTAAAAAAAACATGAACCCTCTAATGCAACTTCTCAACTTTATTGTGGTTTTGGTCTAAACTTTATTTTTGTGAGCTCGGTCCATGGATTGAACTGGTCCATCGACTTCAAGTTCCATGGAGTATCTTTTCATACGTTCTATTATAAGAGTCATTGGTTGACAGTGGCAGAACCTGTCTAAGTCCTGAAGGTTAGGAAGCAGTTCCCCGCTAGTGTTTTTGACTAGCATTGTCCCATACGACTTTCTGAGATGATGGAAATCTGCTGTAACTGTTGTCCATATGTGGCTATTCAGCCCCAAGAATGTGGCTAGTTCAACTGAGAAACTGAATATTTGCTTTTATTTTAATTACTTTCTATTTAAATAATCACATGAGATAAGATAGTGGCTATTGTATCAGATAACATAGGCCAACCTTAGAACAGTGAGTTTACGACCCTGAGCAGTTCAAGTCTATATTTGTGGGTAGCGTTAACATTGGCCGCTCTGGGTAATGTTCAGAGGTTTACCTGGGTGATTCTAAATCATGGGGCAATGGTTCCCTATCAAAGAGATAGGTAAAAATTTGCTAGGATATTTTTGGTTGTTACAACTAAAGAATCCTCCTGGCATTAGAGGGTGGGGCCCAGAGGTGATTAATGGCCTGAAATATATAGGACAGTCTGCCAATGAATTACTGTCCACCTCAAATGCCAGTAGCAACCAATTTGACAAACCCAAACAGATTAGCAGAGTCCTCTAAATACAGATATTCCTTGACTTACGTTGGAGCTACATTACAATAAAACCCTCATAGGTTGAAAATATCATGTGAGAAATGCATTTAACATACATAACCTGCTGATTATCAGAGCCCTTAACCTACCCTACCTTAAATGTCCTCACAATACTTAGATTATCAGGACATAATCCCACCGTAAGTCAAGGAGCTGCTGTACTTGCCTTCCTCTTTCTTCTCACCAGAAGCAAGAGACACATTGGGCATTTTGTAAACATGATGGGATGAAAAACACAAAGCATAATATCTAAAAACACTGGCAATATAGTACTACACTGTAGAGTATTGGTTGTTTATCTTCAGAACCACCTGGCTGACAGGGAGATGAGGGTTACTGCTGCCCAGAATCTCCAGAGAGGATCTTCCTGCAGGAGAAGGGCAACATTCAAACCTCCAAGTACAGTTTCTAACGAACGCCTATAGCTTTTGCACCATCGGAAAGTTGAAAAACCCAAAGTCCAACCATTGAAAGTCAGGGACCATCTGTACTGTGGTTTCAGTTGTGAGCTCTCCTGTGATCTCAGTCCTACCTGCTGTCTCTTGTGATCCGATCTTGTTTTCTTCTGCCTCCTCAGGGACCTCACTTTCTAATTATGCTCATTTTGTCTTCTATATCCAACCACTCCCTCTCTATCTCTAGCACATTCTAATCTATCCTATCTCAAATAATATTTTTTCTTAATTCCATATACTCAGGCTGGGACCATCCCTGCCTTCTGTCCCCTGCCAACCTCAGAACAGAACATTTATTCACCTAGCTATCGGAGGAAATTACTCTTTTGTTGTTACTGTTAATCCTCACCAAGACGGTATTTGTTCCATTGACTTTTTGAGAGAGAGAGAGGAAGGGAAGAAGGGAGGGAGAGAGAGAAACATCTATGTGAGAGAGACACATTGATTGGTGCGTCCTGCACACTTGCCCTGATCAGGGTAGGGAACAAACCTGCAACCCAGGTACGTGCCCTTGACTGGGAATTGAACCCAGGACCCTTCTGTGAGCAGGCTAATGCTTTATCCACTGAGATAAACCAGCCAGGGGTAAGAAAATACTTTTTGTATTGTGATGAAAAGAAAATCCATACCATATGTAGTTTCAAAAGATGCCATTTTTATTACATAGACATATCAATAGAGTCATCATACCATATTCTACTTTTAAACAATTGTATATATTTGTGTGTAGGTGTGTACATACACACACATATATGGTTAAAAAATTTCAAGATGAGTCCACTTTTAATCTTCTATGCTTATAATAACTGCACCTTTTGCAGCTAGTCTCTACACCACCACACCAGTTTCACATATTCTTTTTCTATTTTAGGATCACATTACTTTTTCCCAAGGGTAGGCTCATAGTAAAGCTGTAATGCGGTCACTTAAAAATACTCTAGTTCATAGTTCATTGTATTGTGAAAATTAAATTTTCAAGTACTGCAACAATGTCTTCCTAATTTCCCCTATCTATCTCAAAAAGAATGACTACACGTCCCAAATATATCACTCTAAGAAACTGAGCCCTGAAAATGTTGGGTTAAAATAACTTACATTTAAAGATATAGCTCTACTTGGTTAAATACACTGTAGACTATTTGGAAAATTGTGATGATTGTATTTCTTCTTAACTCTATGTCAAAGCAGTGGGATGCCTACTTTTGTCCTTTAAGTGTGATTTCATAAATTATTTCAAAGGCAAGAAAAGATCTTACTGATGTATTATAACTGCGTATTGTGCAAACATGTCTATGAAGAAATGTAACCTAAAGTTGAGTTGGTGATTATTCTTTCAGTACAAGACTGCATCCTTGGATAAATTCAGTAGGACCACATTCACACAAAATATCTGCATTGTATAGTTTAGATTTCCAGAAACAAAGATCATGCCTGCTTGTGGCATCCAATGAACAGTGCTAATGTTGATTCACTATCTGAGGTTGCATTTATGGCAACTTCTATAATCTACTGGATAATGAAGTTATCCAAATGAGTTGGGAGACTTCAAAAACTACACTGAACAACCATAGTCCAGTTATTTCTTTTGACTGGATACAGCCAGACATTTTTAATGAGCTGATTTAAATATGGTAGGTCATAATTATGTTGCTCTAAAACTAAAAGACCCTCAGATTTCCATTAGCTGGAATTATTATTTTCTTAGCACAATTAAAACCCATATTTTGCTTTTAATTTATAATATGTTCTCATACTAGATATTAAAGGTGTTAATTTACCTAGGGTTCAGTAGGCAAGTCATTAAAAAATCAGTTGAAAATGTATTAGCTTTGGGGAAAATAAAAGTATGCAATACAGTGAGAGTTTTATATTTTAAAATATGAGTTCTTTATCTGCTGCCAGAGGTTATGTTCTCATAAATATTTTCAAAAACCATGCTATTTTCTTGCCTATACATATTGTCTCAGGTTGCTATTTTAACATTCCATCATGGAAATATTGAATCTTGCTATGTAAATGTGAGCCTATCCTCTTATTTTCTTCTACAGAGAAGTCTTTCAGGTTCTTTGTATATATGCATTCTTAAAAAAGATTTGTCTGTATTATTCTGGAATTATAAAGCAAACAAAATACTAAATTAAATTATAGCAAAGCTAATTGTAACTTCATCATTTGGGCATACTTCTCCCATCCTTTCATATAATTTAATTGGGCTGTAGAATGTTTAAAATGTAAATATCATGAATAATCAACAGTAATTATGTGGAAGTACATAATTTAAAGTTATGCTTATAAATCAGTATTAATAATTGTCATTACATAAATACCATAATAATAATAATAATAAAATAGCCAAATAACTAATAATTTATCTTTATATTACACTGTTCAGATCACTCAACTCTATAAATCTCAACCGCAATAATTTTTACAGCAGACATAATAAAAAGAATGAAAATGAACAAATTAAGTAGAAATTAAAATGTGATTTGGGGGTATAGAAAAGCCTTGAACAATTGCTTTCTCATCTCTGTGGGAATGGAATCTTGATAACACCCCACAATATTACAATTTCTTTTCTACTACCTACTTACATTCATGATGCTATACATATGTGCTGTATATATTTTCAATATTTACAGTATACAGTATATACGCACACACACACAGTTTGTTTTATTCTTAGGCTCATTCATGAACATGCAGATCAATCTGCACAGTATGATCAATACATGTTTATTTGCCTTAAATGATATTTATTCATTTACAACTTTTCACTCTTGTGCAAAAATGCAAAAATATCATACAGATTAGTGTTCTCTCTCTAAAAAAAATCTTTTTTTATGGTTTACGTTATTTTGTCATTTACAAATAAATTATGAAATATAGTACATTCACAAGTTGAAAATAATTACAATGTGTTTACAACAAGGCATTGCTGAGGTTTTGAATCATGGCTTTCTTGAAGCCACCGTCTTTCAAAACAAAGACATCAACAAGTTACTGTTATTTTTGATACTTGTACTTTTTGAATACTTATACGAAATAAGTGATAACAAATCTAACATGCTAGTCAAATAATGTTTGTATAGAAGAGGAATCTTTCAGTTTCATCTTTTCCTCTTTTTTCCCTCCCGAAAAGACTTTTTTAGAACCATCTGGAAAGTGTTGAAATTACTGTCCTAGAACATTTCTGGAAAGTTTTCACCTAATAAAAAAAGCTGAAGACACAAGTGAGGCAAAATAGAGAAATAATAATTGTAGTGGGTGCCAGGGAGAGATAACAGCAAATGCAAGAACTGTTTCAGTTTCATCTCCTAGTCCTTTGGTATTTCCTTGCCTCGTGAAAATCCTAAAAAATGTTCAGCTCTTTAAAACATTAATTATACTCTTCCGTTAAATATCAGAGGTGGTCCTCCATTGCTCATGTTGTCTGTCATTTCCTGTTAGGAGAACAACACGAATTAATTAACATTTCTTTCAGAGTCAGACATTGATTTGGCTAATGGGTTTGCAAAACAGACATTTCAAGCCATTGAAAAACTTGCTGAGTTCTGGGGAAGGTCAAGGGTTGATATTGGTGTTGCATTTGAGGAAATGAAATTTCATGGCATCTCGGGCACATGAAAATGCTGAAGTGACAGCCTCTGAGACCAAAGTCTTCTGCCCTCAAAAACAGTTCAGTCTCTCCCCAGCCCCGAGTTTCCCCGTTCGTTCCTTAACTCTCTTTTGGGAAGGCCTACCTAGAAAGAAGAAGATGGTTATATGCCCACATTTCTCCAGTGCAGGCTCCTTTGCTGAGCATGTCAACAAAGGGCCAACGAGGGTTACCTTCATTCTATAGAAAAGCCCGTGGCCTTTTTGCTAAGAACTGAGAAAGGCCCACGCGAGGATTGAAGCTTATTTGTAACTGTAAATCACAGGGGAAAGAGTATGTTCACAACACTGTTACTCATTCAGTTAAAAAAATAAAATTCTTAATATGTGTTTTTAGGGATCAATTATTAATAAGGAAAACTACATGGGAAGGCAATAACATTTAAATATAAAAGATGACTCAACATAATAAGTTCCATTTGCAGTGATAGAAAATATGTTCATTTGAGAAACATTTAGAAGCTTTCAATTTGTGTTTTATTAAACTCTTCCCTACACAATAAAAGGTAGTGAGGAGGTGTGAGGCCCATTCACATTTATAGTGGCTAATGCACCAGATTATAAAGAATATTTTGGCAAAACTATCTAAAAGTAGATGACGACATCTTCCCTCATTTGAACAAGCCTATTTGCAACAACGTGGTAAAGAATAATTCAAATGGAAATTATCTTCTCAATGATTTCAAGCCTATCAGTTATATCGACTTTGGTTTAGATGAATTAACAATTACAAAGTAAAGCGTTTGCTATTATAAACTTTAGAAATTCTTCCAAATATTGATTTGAAAATGACAAGTCATCCATACCTCATTTTTAGTCTTTATTTCTTTGAAAATTCAATACAGAAGGTAAAAGAGTGAACAGGCTTGCTTTTTTTGGATTGGGTGGTTTTGAAAGTTGCTTAGGAGGAGCAATGAGGGACTTGAAGTTAAGAATCGGTCTGGTGTTTGAATCTTACTTTTTAAAACTTTGCTGTCTTTTAGAGGATGGGTATAGAGTTTCTTCCAAGAAGATTGTGGGAAAGGAGACACTATGCATTGCAGTCCTTGCCTCTCACATCAAGACCTGTCTTTGCATGTAACATGCCCCGGCCCCTTCCAGGCTCTAGGGGGTTGGTTATCTTGTTCCTGGGCAGCCATTATGTCTCCCCCCATAACATGGCAAGAAATTACTAGAAAAAAAAAGCCTAAAAACTCAATCCCCTTTAGGATAAGGCTCTGATAGGAAGTAGAGAACATCACTCGAGCCAGCAGCTAGCCTCTATGGTCTGGTGATGGTTCAGCTAATTGAGGGGCCGGCTCTGTTAGTGATATATGAGGTGGAAGTAGGTCTAAAAATACACTGAGATTATTGAGCTGTGGTTAAGTTAGTGGATAAGAAACCTGATTTGAGGCTTCATTCAAGAACTCAGCGTTGGTGGCAAGATAAGTAGAACTAATCCCTACAAAACAAAACAATCTTTAATGAAATTTACTCATACACCTTTTTCTGCTTTTCCTACTAGAACAAAAATACAATTTCCTAATGAATTTATAAGAACTAAGTTCCTTAGATTTCCTATCTTCTCCTAAAATGAATTTGCATTAAAAATGTAGCTTCAAAACTATTTAAAAATTTAATCTAATTATAATCTTTTATTGCAGGATTTAAAAATCCAGTTTTTAGAAATATTACCCCCCCAAAAAATTTTCTTAACTAAATTCATCATACAGATACAATAAAATTATCGATAAAAAAATAACAGTGAAAATCAGTTTTTAACTGGATGAGTATCTTGAGCTTATTTGCAAGTAGGCACATCCAACTTAACAAGATTATACTCTAACTTTGGGCCTGGCCAAATGGGAGTATTTGCAAATGGACATACTTTCTGCAGTTGGACCACGGTAGCAATGTGACCTTCTGTAGTTCCAATTCTATTGTTTAACCAAACCAAGAAAGGCGACTGCTTTCAGCAATCCAAAATAAGGGAGCTAAATTTGAAATGCATCACAGCAGATAATTTTACAAGAAGAAAGTTTCCCTACAGAATGGTTACTGTCTTTGTGCCAGACTTATCTGCTCATGCAATGTTGGCAGGAGGCAGATGCAGTTTGTCTTGATCAGATCCGTCTATGATTAAAAACAAAACTCTGGTCTGTGAAGGATGAGACTGAGTTGGAATCATGATGTAGCAGAGAATAAAGGAGTCGGGAATCATCCAAGCAGCAAGGTGTTTGGATGCTTAGAGGAGGCTGAATATTTTAAATACTCAACCAAGTTTCAAGCTGCAAAATCTGCCATGTAGGTTATGGCAGGTCCTCAAAGTCGCTCTCATGAAAGCGGTACTTTGAGGCACCACATCCAGCATCAGTCGAGGCTGATCTGCTGACACCATGGCTTCCTGGAAGAGGCAGCACTTTGGGCAGTGACATTACAACATGGCAACTCCCTAGAAATTCGCGTACCTTGTAGGTAACTCTGGTGTCGGGGGCACCACCGGGCAGCTGGGCAAGTCGGTTATTTCAATAGCCCTCAATCTCTAATATAAATATAACAATTATACAGTAAATATTGCACACACATATACACAAAAAACTACATCACACTAGCATAAAAAATAGAGCAGGAGATAGCCACTATCCAAATCTATAGTAATAAAAGGATAATATGCTAATTAGACCAGGAGATCTTGGGGAGAGTGGCCAGGGAGGGCAATTGGGGGCCATGAGGCCAGCTGGGGAGGGCAGTTGGGGGCTATGAGACCGGTAGGGGAGGGTAGTTGGGGGCGAGAAGGCTGGTGGGGGCGGGGCAGTTAGGGGCGAGCAGGCCGGCAGGCAGAGTGGTTAGGGGTGATCGGGCAGGCAGGCAGGTGAGTGGTTAGGAACCAGTGGTCCCTGTGGGATCAGGCCTAAACCAGCAGTCGGACATCCCTCAAGGGGTCCCAGATTGGAGAGGGTGCAGGCTGGGCTGAGGGACACCCCTCCCCCGTGCACAAATTTTGTGCACCTGGCCACTAGTATAAAATAATAATCTACTTTGAACAACCCATTTCTGTACATGACCAGTCTCCCTATTAACTCTTTTTTGAAGGACACATGTAAATCTGTTTAAAACTGCTTTCTTGAAACAATTTAAGAGCATTTATTCAGCTTATCGGGATGTAAACAAAATATAAACACATAAAACTACAGAAGAAATACTTTTTCTTCAAAATAACATTATATAGAAATACCCAGCACTAATTGTTGCAATTCTTTCCTCTATTCTGTGGTCAAGCAGTTTTATTTCCCTGATATCAAGTAAAATATGATGTAGCCATTATCTTAGTGAGTTTATGTCACAGATACTTGACTTTTCCTTAATAAATCCAGTAGCAGGAAGTACATTTTAAAATATATGCAAATATAGTAGAAACACAGACAGCTCACTATATCATTTGTCCTTTTCTGTGGTAAATGTAACTTCCTGTTTGAATGGGTTTCATGAAACAATTATGCAAGGACCACTGTTTAAATTACAGGCAAAGCTACCCAAATATGCATGAAGTATAGATGAGAATTAAGTGAAGCTTTATGTGAATTGTAATTTCTGTACTGATAGGCAAGGCTTTTTGTTGCCTTATTAAAAGGCCCTTTTATGCTTGAAAGTCTAATTTACATAATCAAATGCATCTCCTTACAAGCACAAGGGTGGGCTAGAAAGGCGAATTCATCCGCTTTCTAAAACTGGCGTTATTGAGTTGAGAGTGTATTTAGTGTTTTTCCTCAGTACAACACATAAAAATCCATATTTATTAGGCATTGAATATTTTATGAAATCGTATTTTAGGAGCTGTGTTTTTTGTATAGAGAGGCTACAAAAGTAGGTTGAAAATAAGTGTATCCAGAATTGCAGAGAAAAAAAAGTAATAAATTCCTATCCTTAATCCAATGGGACCAACATTTCACAAAATCGAATTTCTCACTTTCTCATCTAAAGCAACCAGTTGGTTCACCTAGATTTGCCTGCGGTCTTCATCACATAGCAGCCGCGAGAGGAAAAGGTACGAGACTCACTTTCTCAGCCATCTCATGGGAGTGATGCAGGGAATGCTCCCTCTCCGAGAACATCCTCCTCTGTTCATAGCTGGCCAGGCGACAAGTGAGCCATGAAGAGAGGGTGCAGCCCCCAATCCCAATGCACGCAAGGGACATGGAGGCCAGATGCAGGGGGTAGAGGGGAGAGGTCTTCCTCGTCACAGCCCGAAGGAACTGAAAGTTCAGGATGCCCCCGATGAGGCCACAGATGCAGCAGGCGGAAAAGAGGATCATCTGGTGAGAAGAAGGGAGTGTTAACGTTGAGAAAGGACGGTTGAACTACAATAAAGATGTTTTTGGTGCTTCCAACAGGACAGGAGCTGTGCTTTCACCGAGATTCTATGTCATCGGACTGAATGGAGAGGGTATAGATCACAGTGTTCCCAGAATTAAGCACTGACCATACAGAAGCCAGGGACACATCTTATGAAAACTCTGAAGTAGCAGAACTTGTCTTCTAGGTAGATTCAGATTGAACTAATATCGATTTAATATCTACTATGTGCTACTATGCTAGGAACTTGAACAGATACCTCAATGAACCCATCCAGAAATCCTCTGAGAGAGGCAGGTAACAATCGTACTCAGGGACTGTGCCCATATTTTCTGACTCGAAATCCAGTTTCACTATGTGAAACCCCCTCGCCCCCAAAATATCTAAATACCTTTTCATTGAACTGCCATTAGTTCCACAGGCTTCAGATCTTTATACTTCTTTAGTTTTGTGATTTGAGGAAATTGAGTTGATTATTTCATTTATAAAAATTTTATTCTGTGTGTATTTATTTCCCCAACAGGAGCTTCAGGAACTCCCCATGAACTGACTCTTCATCTTACAAAACTTGTGTTACTATGTGGCACCTCAGTGAAGCCTACACAGTAGGTATTCCCACAATACACTTGGACGGGCTGCTTTGGAGAAACTCAGAATGTGGCTTTGCTTTTGATCCTCCTATTGGCTTGATGTGGGTCTCTATTAATAGAACCAAAGTGTTTTTTTTTATTCAAAGTAAATATCACAAGGTCTCTGGTAGAACTAAGTATAATGCCTGCTGTGTAGCAAATGTTTTGTGAATATTTAATAAATTTAATAGAATATTCTAATAGCTTGAATAATTTTATTTTATTTTGCACGAGTATCTAGGGTTTTCATGATACCTTACAGTATGATGCTAATTTAATTATCTAAACTTATTTCCATATTCTCCTGGCATAGCACCTGTTCCTGTCACCTCTCTTATCCATTGATGCAGCTTGTACATTCCTACCTCAACAATATGTTCATTTCCTGAAAATAACTTTGCTTTTTTCCCTTGGACTCTTAGATGGAAGGCCCAAATCCTGTCCTAACTTTCTCAGAACATTTCCATGACTTTACTGATCTCCTCCTTTGACATAAATCCTCAGAGCAAACAGCTAGACAACTGGCTTGAGCATTTAGTTCTACAATATCAGGTATTTTGGCTGCTGACAGTTGAATCTAGCGAGCACGTATTAAGTACCTAGCATCTGTCAGGTCTTGAGTGAGGTAGCAGTTGGCATTACAAAAAAGAACAGCTCACAGTCATTCCCCTTGAGTACATTGCAGTCTTGGAGAAGATCCAACATGTCCACATGGAGGTGAATGGGTTGCCCTCAGAGTAGGGAGCAGGGCAATTTAGCCCAACCGGTGGTTTTAGACAAGACTTCCTTGACCATATGTCATCTCAGCTAAGTGCATGTAGTTCCCAGTAAAGGGTAAGGCCATGGATGCATGAAATAGCACAGTAAAATAGCATGATAGGCAGAAGGAACTGCAAGTAGTTCCTTTTATTTCTCTAACTTAATTCAGCATTCTTTATTGTCTGTCTCCTGGTACTTATCACCAAGGCTAAAAATCTAGTGATGGATGAGTAAAATATTTTTATAGTGATTAATTGTAATACTGAGTATCAATTACCAAATAATTGAATCATCCCAAGTGGGAACCTATAGCTTCCAATTCAGGTAGAACCAATCAGTTATATTCCATTTTAAAGTATATTCAGGAAATGCAGTTTCTTGATAATATATTTTCATGTTTAGTCATTCTCAGAAAACATGAAAAGATATTAAATTTTACCTTTTTATGCAGTCATTACTGTTAATTAAGAAAAATGGCAAATTCAATTGTCTATTAGAGGAAAAGATATTTCTTCTGATGTTTTTCTTAGTAATTTTTTTAAAGGCACCAGACTTTATTAACAGGTGCAGATAGAGCATTCTCCTAGGAATTAAAATGTAAAAACTAAATCCAAATTTATGCACATTTGCATATAAATTATTTGGTTAATATCATCCTGTACCCCGCCCCCCTCTTTTTCTCTGAGATTCAACAGTCTGTTTCATGGATCTATTTTATTTGTCAGTATATATTGTTCAGAGCAGGGAGCAGGGGAATTTAGCCCAACCAGTGGTTTCAGACAAGACTTCCTTGACATGAATGAGATCATGTGATACTTGTCTTTCTCTGACTGGCTTATTTTACTTAACACAATACCACTCTTAAGGTCCCACATGTCTAAGCAATGGGGCCTTCATCCTTTTTGTCACAATAGATATTCTCACAGAGAAAGATGTGATTAGAAAAGGAGTTAAACAAAAAACTGCACTATTGCCCCTTCCCTGCCCTCCTCAGATAACTGGTCTCCGCTTGGAAACCCCATTTAGGCTCAAAGATCACTTCCTAGGGTCCATGTACAGTATTTGTTTCACCAAACTTTAAAGGTGTATTTTCCTATTGTTCTCAATAAAATAAACCATGCCTTTTCCTTCTTTCCAAACTCTCATAAAATGCTGTGGAAGGCAGCGGGGAAGCCACATTCGAGCACGCAGAAGCTGTCCTCCAGCCAGCATCGGAGTTAGCTGGGAGCGAGTTCCATACCCCGATGCCCAGGACACACCATAAAGCATCTGAAAACACTTACATTTGCATTCACAGTAATAAAAAAATAAAAGAAACATCTTTGTGAATTAACTGTCACTATAACAGCACAGCTGTTTTGCTGCTTTGTAAAATTAACTTGACAGTCAAACAAAGCCAGCAATGCTTAGGCCCAGTTCCATATTTAAACAGTTAAATTTCCCATGAACTCAAGTTATGTCTTTTTCAGTTTATGGAAGGATTCCTGCGAATGTTTAGGAGCCTATAAATTGGAAAAGTGGATACTGTCATCCACAGAAGTCATAAAGGCTGCATATTCATGCATTTAAAGAGTATATCAAAGCCTTTCTTTTTCTCTCTTTCTTTCCTTCTTTCTTTCTTTACTCATAATCTTTTTTTTAATCCTTACCCAACAATATTTTTCCATTGATCCCTAGATAGAGTGGAAGAGAGAGGGAAAGACAGATAGAAATATCGATGTGAGAGAAACACCTCAATTGGTTGCCTCTTGCACAAACCCCTACCAGGGCCTGGGCCTGGGGAGGAGCCTGCAACTGAACTACGTGCTCCCAACCGGAATCGAACCCGGGACCCTTTGGTCCGCAGACCAACGCTCTATCCACTGAGCAAACTGGCTTGGGCACTAGTAATCGTGATGTTTTTCTTTGAAAATAAAAAAGCCAGGATTTATTTGTCAGTCCTTTTTCTACCCTAAATGAGTCACATTCAACATATGAAAGTTGACTAGTCACCATTTCCATTTCTGAGTTCTGACATTTCAAATACTTCAATGCACAACGCAAACAAGGCAGAAACTTACGATAAGTCCAGACTTTTTTTTGGCGCACAATATTCCACATATGCCACAAAGAAGAAACTGAAAAGGAAAAGAACAACAATCATTTCACATCCAAAGGTAAAAGAACGCCCAGTTTTTAGCTTATAGTTCACTCATGACATTTGCTCCAGGGAAGCTGGAAAAATTTATGCTCCCATTTAAAGCTGAAAAGGAACACCCTCCATTCCAGAATAGGAAGGGATAAAAGTGTAAACGCAATGAAAGTTTGTTTTTGCCAAGTTGATATGGGTAATTGTGGGATCGAAGCAAAACTTGAGTCAGTTTTACGAACAGGCAAAATTAGGAAGTAAATGAACTTAGAGTCTGCTCCTCCTATTTCCATTCATTGTCTTATTGTCCTTTCCCACTTTCTCAGGGAGAGCAGAGGTGTGATACAATCATTCCCACTAAGCAATCAGAAAGCAATGGGCTATCCTACAGGTAGGGAATCTAGCACGAATGAAAAGATATGGCATCAGACAGGGACATGTTTTTCTACAGAGACATTCTTTATACCTCTCAAACTATGTCAGGTAAAATGGCTACCCCCTCCTTCTATCAGAAATACTGTCCTTGGAAATACGTCAGAAGAACACAGGGGATGAAGCTACAATAGTCCCCCCATCCACTGGGGACACATTCCAAGACCGCCAGTGGATGCCTGAAACCGCAGGGTTCCAAACCCTATATATACACTTTATTTTGTCCTATTCATACATACCCATAATAAAGTTTCACCTATAAATCAGGTGCAGTAATTTATAACTAATAATAAAAGAGAACAATTATAATAATACTACAGGCCCGGTGCACGAATTCATGCACTGGTGGGGTCCGGCCAGCCTGCCCCAATCGGGGCCAATCAGGCAGGGCTGGCCAGGGGGAGGGGCTGCAGGTGGTTGGCCAGCTGGCCTCACCCCCTGGTCAAACTCCTGGTTGAACTCCCAGTTGAGGGGACAATTTGCATATCAGGCTTTTATTATATAGGATACTGTAAAAATTATGCAAATGAAGTCTCTTTCTCACTCTCAAAATATCTTATTGTACTATACTCACCTTTTCACTTAAAGGAAGCACTTTATAGCTTCTCTTTGGCATATCCGAATTGCCAGCATCACTACTCTGGTGCTTTGGGGCCATTATAAAGTAAAAGAAGGGTTAGTTGAACCCAAACCTTTGATATCACAACAGTTAATGTTATTTCATCACTTTACTCAGAATGAGGTGTAGATTAAATTTATAATCTTTTTACTTTTGGAATTTTCCATTTAATATTTTCGTACAACAGTTTTCCACAGGTAACTGAAAGAGCAGAAAGCAAAACCATGGATAAGGGAGAATATTATATTGATGGCATCTAATTTCTTGTAAGAAAATACATGGCTGACCTATTTGCTTTGCAAAATTAACTGCATCAATTTACTGATCAATGACAGTTGTCAAAAAACAGTAAATTGTTTAAGTTAGATAGAAACAGGGCCATTTAAATTGCACATTTATGTATAATTCTGGTTGAGAGGAAACCATGTAAATAAAATAATCATTCGTTAATAAATAGTAAGCTTACTAAGGGCTTTCAGATTAGCAAAGAAAACTTTGAGTTGTTTTAAGACAGCTTATTGAATTTGTTCCCCACATAACGTTTACCCACCTCAGATGAAATAATTTTCACTGAAAATTACTTCTACAGAAATACACTCATTAGTGAATAGAAACGAGCTTACATTTTCCCCCTCAAGATAATGAGCTGAATCTCAAATGAACTTTAATTCTTTGATAATCTTTAAAGATTTTTATATGATTTTATCAAAACCAGTAAATTTTTTAAAAAGAAGCATTATGCTAAGCGAAATAAGCCAGTTAGAGAAAGATAAATATCACATGATCTCACTCATTTGTGGAATATAATGAACAACATAAACTGATGAACAAAAACAGATCCAGAGACAGAGAAGCATCGATCAGACAGTCAAACCTCAGAGGGAAGGCAGGGGAGGGTGGGGGGGAAAGGGGAGAGATCAACCAAAGGACTTGTATACATACATATAAGCCTAACCAATGGACACAGACACCAGGGGGGTGAGGGCATGAGTGGGGAGTGTGTGTGTGTGTGTGTGTGGGGGGGGTATTGAGGGGATAAGGACACATATGTAATACCTTAATCAATAAAGGGAAAAAAAGGTGTAGAAAAAATAATAGGAAAACACAGACAAATGTGAAATGTTGACTAATCGATACGGGAGAAATCTATCTCTGGTTCAATAGTGCATTTTCCTTGTGTCTGGATTAACAGTTTGGTGATTTACTTTGCTACCACCAATTCTTGAATGTTTTTATTCTACTTCAGTCACCGGTTAAAATGACAACTGGACTCTTTTAAAAGTGTTATTTTGTAGTTTAGTTCACAAAATGCCAGTGTGCTGAGCAATTTCTTCTTTCTTCCTCCTCCTCCTCCTCCTCCTCCTCCTCCTCCTCCTCCTCCTCCTCCTCCTCCTCCTTCTTCTTCTTCTTCTTCTTCTTCTTCTTCTTTTTTTTGATACTGTGCTGATGGGATTGTGATTTTCTTACAAGACACTCTGGCTAGACATCTAAGACCATCCTTTCTGCCATCGGCTTCCTTCCATTTGGGATCTCATGTCTCTAGGGATTCCAGTATAAATTATCTGTGTAAAATGGGGAAAGTTTATCAAGTTGGAAAGCCTGCCTGATGACAGTGATTCTTGGCTGCGTATTAGCTTTAAAAATTCCTGCTACCTTGACCAATTAAAAACCAGAATTTCCAGGTTGGGACTCAGGCATCAGTGTTTTTAAATCTCTCCAGTATTTTAAAACCTTCAGTGTGTTCTTAAAGTCCAGCACAGCATGCAGGGTGCTCGCCAGTGCTTTATCAGCAGAACTGCTCACTTCAGAGCTCACCGCTGAGGCATCGATGTTCCCCTTAATTACTCTCAGCCAGATATGTACCAACGCGAAGCTGCGTAAAGTGCTCTTCAAGGGAGAAACATCAAGTGCTTGTTTATGACATAAGGTCAGAGTGTCAGAACTGTTTGGTCTCTAATGGATCTTAAAAATAGAGATCCTTATTTCATTATCTTTTAACTTATTCTACCCAGTGCCTTTCTTTCATTATTGTAAACATGTTTTTCCCCTAGGCCCCCAATCTTTTCAAATTTTTCTTCAATATTTAGTTAGTTAGAGCTAGAATTGGGCAGGACACACTATTATGTGGAAGAATCTGACTAAATTTATATTGGGAATTGAGAAAGTAGGCATAAGAAGTCACATATACAAATAATCACCATTGTAAAAAGTATTGGAAAGGAATAGATTGAAATCAAGCAAGATCAACGACAAGGAAATAACAATTAAATTAAAATATGGGCAAAAGGTCTGAACAGACCTGACTAAAGAAGATCTGCCAATGTCAAATAGAAGTAAGAAAAAATATTCAACATCATTTGTCATGAAAAATTATGGAGTTAAACAACAATGAAGTGGTACCACACACCTATTAAATGGTTAGAATACAATAAAACAACAACAAACAAACTGGTGATATCAATTGCTGGTGGTGTAGAGCGACAGGAATTTTCATTCCTTTCTTGTAGGAATGGAAAATGGCACAGTTACTTTGGAAGTGAGAGTGGCAGTTTCTTACAAAGCCAAACACAGACTTTCCATATGACCCAACAATTGTGCTTTTCGGTATTTATCCAAAAGATATAGCTGCATGTCTGCAAAATGATCTGTGTTGGATTATTTATTTTAGCGTAGTTAGCAACAATGCAAGGGGAACAATCCCAAATGTCAATCAATAGACAATTGATTAAATTCAATGGATTTCTTTGTATCTATTAAAAAATGTGAGAAAGCTCTCTATACACTGATCTGGAAAGTTCTCCAACCTATCTGTTTAAGTGATAAAAATAAGCTGTAGAACTGTGTGCGTAGCAAGTGGACTTTTTGTGTAAAAATGCAAATATAATCTACATACATATTTGCTCTTACATGTATAAAGTAATTCTGGAAAAATATAAGAAACAATGAGCTGTGATTACCCTGTTTGGAGAAGTGCTGGAAGCTGAATGAAGGTAGCTAAATTTTCATCGAATACTTTCGGTAACTTATGTTTGAGCCATGTATAAGTGTTACAATTCAAAAAGTTCAAGAGTAGCCTTCTATTTGTTCAAAACAAAACTATTTTTGAGGTATTAGGAAACAATTGCCTGTCACGATTCATCCTTACTAGTGAATGACTCCCAACCTTGTGTATAGGCAGGCAAGAGAATGGCCTTAGGGCTGAGATTGAAGAAACACCAGCAGAACTCCTTGACTCCAAAGTACAGGCTACCGTCGTCCTGGACACATTCTGAAAAACGTATAGATTGGTGAATGACTCAAAGTTCCATACTCCTTGTGGGTATTTACAAAGAAAAAAACGAATGAAAATTCCCTACTCTATATGTTTTTATTTATTTTTTTAAAATATATTTTTATGGATTTTCGAGAGGAAGGGAGAGGGAAAGGGAGAGAGAAACATCAACAATGAGAGATAATAATTGTTCTGCTGCCACCTGCACATCTCACACGGGGATCGAGCCCAAACCCGGGCATGTGCCCTGACTGGGAAGTGAACCGTGTCCTCCTGGTTCATAGGTCAATGCTCAACCACTGAGCAGCACTGGCTGGGTATCTGTTTTTAGAATGTGTCTTTGGAAAGGAGGTTGGCCGGCCATATTTTGGCTGTCTAGGAGCTCTGATTAGTTTTCTTCAATCTCAACATGTAAGGCCATCACCTTGTCTGCTTTCACACAGGTTGGTTTTGCATGTTTAATGGAACTGAATTTGGAACCTGCTAGGGGCAGAGCTTTCAGGCACAAATCCAAAAGTGCCATAGAGTAGCTTACAGGAATTGAGGTCATCCTTCTGAAATACACAGAGCTTCTCATGGTGAATTGAGATTGAAAGCTGAATGTGGTTTATTCTGAGTTAAATATGACAAATCACAAACCACTACATAGTAAAGTAGATGTGGCTTC